ATTTTAGCTTTTCACATTTAAATCTTTAATCTGTGGAGGTTATTTTTGTGATGGTATGAGGTAAAGGTCTAATTTTGTCTTTTCCTGTGTCTGTGACCAGTCCTCCCAATCCTGTTTATTAAATGGTCAGTGGCATACACCCATGACCATTTAATGGTCAGCGGCACATGCCTGTAATGTGTCTGGCAACTCAGGAGGCTGAGGCAGGAGGATTGAAAGGTTGAGACCAGACTGAGCAATTTAGCAAGACCCTGTGTCAAAATAAGAAATAAAAAGGCCTGGAGATGTAGCTCAGTAGTAGAGCGTCCCTGGGTTCAATCCCAGTACTGCCAAAAAAAGCCCTTTCCCACTGGCCTGTGTCGCCTCCTCTGTTGTGCAGGACATGTGCTGTGTTTGCTTCTGATTTCTGAACTCCTCTGGACTCTTTGCCTGTCTTGGGTTAATACCACAATTACTACAGAAGTCCTAACAACGAGTAGAGTATCCTCCCTTGTCTTCAACATATTCTTGCTTTTCCCCCCAGACTCTGGGGAAGAACCCAGGGCCTCACAAGTGCCAAGGAGGCCAGTGTCCCACATGGCGCTAAACCCAGCCCTTCTAGCCTGTTCAGTCACAATCTGTGAGTGTTGGTGGCTGTTTCTCTCTTTCCATGTTGTATGTGGTTTCGTTTGGGCTTGGTTTGTAGTCTCATTATGCTACAGCTTGTGCTGAATACAGAGGTGCGAGCTTTCTTGTCTCTTCCCTGAGTTCTAAGTTTTATCATATTGTTTTCTTATCTTTTGAGATGAGCTCTTGGTTTTTCTCCTTCAATCTGTTAGTGCGAGAATTTTATTCCTATATTTTCCAAGATTATGGAGATAAATTCTGACTCGATACCTCATACCAGATAAAATGATTAATTTTAAGTATTGTTGGGTTGTGTTTGCTATTTATTTTGTTTAGGATTGTTTTATCTGCCTACAAATGGAAAACAAATTGTTCCATAATTCTTCTTTCTCAGAATGCACTGGTCTGGTTTTGGAAACAATATTAAACCAGCCTCAAGATATTAGGTTAGGCGTGGGCTCTGCTTTCTGTTCTGTTCTCTATGGACAGTTTCTCTGAGGTAGTTAGTCCTTAAAGCTTTCATAGACTTTTGGGGAATGTTTTAAGTACCATTTCATTATTCAATTAACATATAACATACATGGATAAAAGTCTATTTTATATAATAGGAATCACAGACGTACTCTTGGTGATTTATTTTGCTCAACGCTGAAGTTGAAGTTGAAGTTTGTTTGTTCTGACTGCTGTAGAGCATTGCATTTTGCGATTGCAACGTAAGGTACCCATCCTACAGCTGATGTGCCTTTCTGTGGTCCCTGTCTTTGACTACTGCACAGACAGCTGCTGAGGGCATTCAAGGTGGCGCCCTTTGATGAGCATGTGTTTGCATTTCTCTTGTCCAGAGGTGGATTTGCTGAGTCACACAAAGCATGGAGCTTTAGCAGATGCTCCTGATTAGATTTCAGAAATGATTGCCATTTTCTATTTTTTTCTTGAGTTTTAGTAAGTTATATTTTTCTTGAAAATTGTCTGTTTCATCAGTTATTGGTATGAATTAAGTATTTTTAGATTTTTTAAAGTCTATCATTTATCCCTTCTATTATTCCTAATTTGATTCATTTGTGCTTCTTTCTTTGTCTTTTTATCAAGCTTGCCAGATTTATCCCTTTTATTTGACCTTTTAACAGTGAACACTGGGGCGGGGCTAGGGTTGTGGCTCAGCAGTGGAGCCCTCGCCTAGCACATATGAAGCCCTGGGTTCAATCCTCAGCACCACATATAAACAAATAAATAAAATGAAGGTATTGTCCAACACAACTAAAAAATAAATATTTCAACAAAAACAGTCAACACTGGGTTTTATTGATTCCCTCTATGAGTCTTTTTTGTGAGTAAACTATGCCATCAACGTACACCAGACTCTGATGTGTTCATGTCTTCCCACAACATCAGAATTTATTGAATATCAATACGTTCACAAGCTACATCACTTTCAGCAGCTTTAATTCACCAGATGTTTGTGGTTCACTGGTAACCAGGACAAGGCAATCTCAGGTTCTCTTATGCCATTCCAATCTTAATTATTACTCTCTCTAGAACTCCAGTCACATACCACACTTCACACAGTGGCACACCAGTTGCAGGTTGGCTAATAGTGTTCATGGTTCATAGTGGTCACCAGGTTTTAGGCGGTAGCACTGAGAGCAGAGGCAGAGAGAGCAGAAGAGTCCCTCCAGGTGCTTAGATGAGTAAGATCCAGCTGGAAGCATTGTTCAGGGTGCAGAGCTGTTCAGGACGAGGAGCTTCCTCTGGGTGAGGGTCTGGATGGCAACAGTTTTGAAGGAGGCCACATCAAGCAGGGAGATCCAGCTAAGATGAAGCCCCAGGACAGAGTCAGGAGTCATGACTCAACTTGTTCCCGGGTGGTCTGAGAAGACCATCAGTGTGTGCCTCCGTACTCTTGTTTTGAGTGGCTCTTCTCTTATGTGTTTCAGGTGGGCAGGATTGTTATTTGCTGGTCTGGGGTGTCTGATAAGCTCACGGGTCTGCTTTCTTGGATATGAAGTCTATTTATTTGATAGGTATATAGCAACGTCAGCTTTCTTTGATTAATATTTCTCTGACATTTTTTCCCATCTCTTTATATTTCACATTTGTTAGCTGGAGGGGAGGTGGGAATGGTTTCGGTTTCCCTAATTTTTATTCTGTTTTTTTTCCCCCAAATCTGTCTTGAGTTTTTTCATAATACCTTATTCTTTTCTTAAGTCACCTTTGTGTATCTTAGTCTCTTTAGGACTTCTGTTTTTAATAATCACTTTTCAGGTTGTTCTCTATTGAAGTCCTTGTGGATTTCTTTCTTTTTTTTTTTAAGAGAGAGAATTTTAATGTTTATTTTTCAGTTTTCGGCAGACACAACATCTTTCTTTGTATGTGGTGCTGAGGATCGAACCCGGGCCACATGCATGCCAGGCGAGCACGCTACCGCTTGAGCCACATCCCCAGCCCCTCCTTGTGGATTTCATCCTGTTTGTAATACATGGTTTTCTCCTTGTGGATTTTGTGCTTCTGGGTTCTGAATCTTTTATCACTGGAGCCTTATCTATAATATATCCCATGTAGTCCCAAAGCAGGAGAGGATCTGTCCAGGATGATTTTGGAGGCTTTTTGTTTGGAGGTGTGGGGATGAAACTCAGGGCCTTGCACATGCTAGGTAAGTGCTCTACCACTGAGCTACACTGCCAGCCCTCTCCAGTGTAATTTTGGGTTTGCTTCTGGTTGGCCCCTTGGATGCATCCATCTCCATCCCTGAGCTAGCTTTTATTTTTTGTTTGTTTGTTTTCAGTGCTAGAAATTAAACCCAGGGCCTCGAGTATGCTAAGCAAGGGCTCCACCACATAACCCTTTTTAAAACAGGGTCTTCTAATGTTGGCCAGGCTAACCTTGATCTTGTGATCCTCCTGCCTCAGCCTCTTGAGTAGTTAGCATCACAGGAGTTTTTCTATAACTTTGATGAGTTCTGAGACCCATGTGTACATATGTAGTGAAACTTAAACCCTAAATTTGCCCCAGTTTGTTCCCATTTCTCAGGCAGGAGCAGGAGTCCTCTCCCTGAGAAGGAAAGGCTCTGGGGTTTGATTTGGCGGGGGGTGGCAGGTAGATAATTAGGGATTGAGTTCAGGGGCATTCAACCATTGAGTCTTATCCCCATCCCTTTTTTTGTATTTTATTTAGAGACAGGTTCTCACTGAATTGCTTAGGGCCTCACTAAGTTGCTGAGGCTGGCTTTGAACTCACAGTCCCCCTGCCTCGGCCTCCCAAGCCACTGGGATTACAAGTGTGCACCACATGCCCCACTGGGGTTTGATTTTTGTTAACCTCTCTTTCACTGGGGTACTGCCAGTTAAAGGTTGTGCCTTTTAGGCAGACAGTTGATCTCCTGATCACTGCCTCTTTCAAACCCAGGGCCTTATCCCCTGAGCCCACTAGGGATGACCCCACGGGTCTGTGTGGCAGGGCCTGGGTTTACCCCCATGCCTCTGCCTAGGCAGCCTGTTGGATTCTGTTCTGGTTCCCAGAGTCCATTTGTTTCTCATGTTGTGAAACCTTCCATTCCTTCCTTTTGTGTTCAGGTACACATAAAATATTTTCAAATATTTCATCCAGTATTTTTAAGTCTTGATAGTAGGCAGATTTTCAGGTTATCTTAGCCCATGATTTTTGCCATAACTGGAAGACATCTAGAAATAGAGATTTAAGTTAGAAAATTCAAAGATTGGAACATAGCTAAAGAGATTTAAAAGCATCATGTAATACATTTTTCTTCACAGAGTTACCTTTTTTTATTGGTGACATAGACTGAGCAAGAAATGACATTACTATCATGATTAGGTATCCATAAAGCCACTCTCAGAAGGGTGATCACTGATCCTGACTTCTGAGTCTTTTGCTCTGTTTGTGTGACGTCCCTTTCCTCTCTGGCCTGTTGCTGGACTAGGTTGTGTTACCGCCTGCCGTCCAAGCACACTCAGACTCTACCTACTTAGGAGGACTGGAGGAGATGGGGTGCGGAGGAGGAGTGGCTCCTTAAAGAGCGGCTGGAGAAACCCAGCTTTCTGCCTCTAGTGAGATGGCCTCCTGCAAAGGTTGACCGTTGTTGGGACAGAGTCCTTGGGGATAATGGGGACGCAGGCCAAGATTGGGAATGTCTGATCCTTCATGACCAGTTGCACAAACCGGTTTTCTACCTCCTGTTACTCTGCACCTTGAGCAGGCTGCTGGCTTTATCCTGTCGTTTGAAGGGGACTGGGAAACTTTAGGACTTGAATTGCTTGCCTGGAGCAGATGAGTACATTCCATTCCCCGTCCCTCTATGTGGCCACCTGGAGAGAAACCTCCTCTAGGCCTGGTGGTGGTTCTGCTCCTGATGTCTGATGATTGTGTTACTCTCTTTTCAGGGAGGAATGATCAATTGGAATCGTCTTTTCCCTCCTTTACGTCAGCGGAGAAACATAAACTATCAAGATGGTCGTCGGTCAGAACAGCAGGCCTCCCCTCCACTGGAGGTTTCTGAGGAACAGGTAATCAGCCACACCTGGTATGGCTGTGCTGAGGTTTAGCCAGCAAGAAGTCAAGCCCTGGGTTTTGTAACCTGGCATGGTGGTGCATGCCTATAATCCCAGCTACTCAGGAGGCTAGAGCAGGAGGATCACAAGTTCAAGGCCAGTGTGGGCCACTTACTGAGACCCTGTCTCAAAATAAAAAGGGCTGGGGATTAACTCAATGTATAGAGTGCTGACCTAGAGTGCATAAGAACCTGGGTTCAACCCCCAGTAGCAGAAAAAAAAAAAGAAGGGAAAAAAAAAGGAAGGGAAGGGGGAGGAGAGAAAATAAAAGCTTGATTTTGAAAGAAATCAGGCATATCAATGCAAAGATTTTTATAGCAGCTAAATTGCCACCAGGGACAACAACTTTGGACCTTTATTAGCAGCTGTGGTAGGTCTTACGACGTGTTTGAGGAAGGTTTGATTTAGGAAAAAGAAATGCATTATGATGGCTGATTTTAAAATCTGTTTTATTTTATTTATACAAGAAGCTAATGAAGTTGGTTTCCTACAAAAGGTGGGAAAGAAGTAGAAAGATAGGGAGAAAGTAGCACTTTTGGTATGGTTTTGACTTGTGATTTTAAATCATATTAATATTGTACATATTTGAAAAGCAGATCAACAAGAATAGGCACCAATGTAAAATTGAAAAGAAAAAAAATGGTTCAACTATATTTCAAATGAATAACATAATCACATTAAAGGGAAATTAATTTCAGTAATTTTTGAACAGTCTAAAGAAAAAAAACTGCAAACAAATCTTAAGACTCTTCTTTGTAGGTGTATTTTTCATAGTAGCATGGGAATGGGATTCTAAAATTATGTCACATGTATTAGGAAATACAGGAAATAGGTGTCATACTGTGGAAAAAGGAAGGAACAAATATAGAACATGGGACAGCAAGGAAGAACCCTTGGGGGCTGGATCAGAACTAGCAGTGTCTGCACAAACCATGATTATGTGTGTGTGTGTGTGTTTGTGTGTGTGTGTGTGTGTATGTGCCCTTACACACACACCTGCCCTTGCTCTGACTGATAGGGATCAGAAGCCGATGACATCCTAGTAGCATTGAGCACACCCAGTGCCCAGATCTGTTTCCAAATAGTTTTCCCCACTGAAAGGAACCAGACCTCTTGAGAGAAATGGTGGGCCCAGGCCCAGGTGGGGAGGAGCAAGATAACCTTGAAAATCTTGTGCAGGTAGTGGGGAAGTGCTCAGCAACTGGTGGGGCATGTCATAAGGACTCCCAAGCCCGCCGAGGGTCCCCTGGCTACGTCTATCCTGAGTTTGAGCACATAAATGAGGACAGTAGTATGGTATAATCCATTGAGGGAGAATTCGTGAGTTTATACCGATATTAATAGATAATAAATATTACATAAATACCTACACAGAAGAAAGGAAATGCATTTCTTTTTAGTAGAATTTCACATACTACAGAAAGCATAGCAGTATTGAAAAATTACTTTTGTRACCATCATGGTAAAAATAAAAATCAGTTCAGGGAAGAATCATCAGTATGTGAAGACTTGGGGATGAATATACTCTCACAGTATGTCTGCACAAGTTACTTAATTATAAAAAGAAAACAGTAACTGTATAGTGAGCAACCCCTTCACCGAGTTACCAAAGTAACATTAGCAGTGCTGAAGARAGACATCGTGCTCACACCCTGAGAGGCGCCCGGCTGTTAAGTGCTACACTCAGGCACAGAACTTCACCAGTATGAGGGACATTCTCTAAAATACCTGGCCTATGCTCTTCAGAAACCCTCATGTCACAGACCATTCTATATTACCGGAACTGGGGAGCCTTGCCACCTCGATACTGAACAAGATTCAGTATCGATACTGAACAAGATTCTCTATAGGGAAAATCAGGGGCAGGGGAGGCCCTTTTAGGATGAGATTATACCGTAAATTGGAAATAGTATCATGTTCATGTTAAATTGCAGGATTTGGCATCCATACTGACAAGTTAGGAAAGAGAATACTCTTGTTTTTAGACAATGCACACAGAAGCATTAAAGGGAGTTAAAGGGAGCTGTGTGCGGCCTACCCTTGGGTAGCTCAGGAACAGTCTGAGAGTGAATGGGCACATGCTCTGTGTGTGCAGACAGAGAATCAGGGAAAACAGTTAACAAAATAACATTTGCTGAATCTGAATGAAGATGTAAACAGGGTTTCTTGTTACTATTCAGGAAACTTCTCCAAGTTTGAAATTATTTCAAACTGGAAATTTTTCTTCTGTGTATGCTGTTTTTTTCCTCATCAAACAAAGCAAATCAAGATCATCATTTCACAACTGGCCACACCATGCCTGGAGGTTCCTCATCTCTTAGCCCTAGAGTAACAAAGAGCAGGGCACCCAACCTGGTGGCAAAACTGTGTCCTCAGGTTTTCTGGAACTCCAGCAGTGGCCCTTAGAGAGGCTCCCCCAGCACCCCTGGATTAGACCATGGTAAATGCTTTTGAGAGAAACTAAAATRTGCCTGACAACTGTGCCTGTCCACCCCTTGGCTCAGGCGGGCAGGGGGCTGTGCAGCYAGAGCACTTCTCCTCTACCTGTTTAGAGAATTTTTCAACAACTGCTGTCCCCAGGGATAAGATCTTTATAGTAACAGATTGAAAAGTAAGATAATAGTCTSAAATCCAGGTGGAAAGATCAAACTTCTTTTATCTTATTGTTTACTTGGTATAGCAGTGAGTCACATTCTTCATGAAGCCGTTAAGGGCATGAGGTATTTAAAGGTGAGATATTTCTTGGTTTTGGCACTTTGACGGGGAAAAAGTGTCAAAAACAGAGAACAAGGAGAATGTGTGTAATTGAAGTCTTTAGGGGTTTTTAAAAAATGAATCACTTCTCCTGATCCTYCCAGAATGATAGCAGTGAGGTTAACATGATGTCCATATCAGTCTAAAGCAGCAGTTAATTCTCCCCTGCTCTGRGTTGTGAGAAGATGCACATATGCAAGAGGTTATTTATGCTTTCTTGCTCACTGATTTTTCTAAGTCTTGCTTTTTGTGGTTCTTGATTATCCTGAAAGTGGCAGATACAAACCATCATGGCACTAAAGACACAGGGCTCACAAGTGTTATTTATTATGCAGTCTCAGCATTTCTTGGGTAGGTGCTACAGTGAGTATAAAAGATTAAAAAAAAAACCACTGATCCTCCTTTCAAGATGTTTATGATGAAGTGTACAAAGTTACTGTATGAGCTCTTGATTAGTTTGTTAATGCTAGCTATTGTCTAAAATATTATGTTAATAAAACATTAAGCCAACTTTAATAACTTTTTATCCTTAATTTTTTAATTAAATGTGTTTGTAAATGAGTCATGATGCATTAAAGAAGCTTCATAATTTTCTAAACCCAGAAAAATAGCAGAAAACTTCATATAAGCACTTCTAATAACCATACACTTCAGATATTTTTAATGAGAGTTATTCAGTAAAATCCAGTAGATGGGAAGTATATGCAATGAATTTGAAAGTAGAATGTGCTTTTGAGAGAGTGTGCCTCCTTCCTCAGCCCAGTCTTAGTGTAACAGACGGCCATAGACATCTGCCACCTCTTCTACTTTTGCTTTTTTTGCTGTTAAGATTTTTTGGTTTCTCAGAACCCACTCCTGTTTTTGGTGGGTACACCCACAGCACCTTTGCCTCGGAGATGCCATCCCTGTCCCTCTTAACATGGCCACAGGGTGGGTCCCATGGGGGCAAACTAGACAAGGCCGCAGAGCTCTGAGCTGCACCTTGTGCCTCATGCTGCCCAGACTGGCAAACTGCACAGACTGCTAAAGGCAGTCCCCGGGAACTGAAGGACAAGACGCCTGCTCTGGCCATCGTGGTGCACACGTGCAGAGAGGGAAAAAGCCGGTCCCTGCCAGTTTACAGAACTTTCCAAGAAGTGGGCCGAGGGGTGGGGGATGTCRGATGAGCCGTGGAATAACAAGTGACCGTGAGAAGAAGCAGTGCAGGAGCGAGGCTGCAGGGCTGCCAGTAGGACCAGAAGGGTGTCACCAGCTCCAGGTCCAGTGAGGGTCAGGTAGTGTAGAGGGTCCTGCCAGGCGAGTGATGGAGGAGGGAAAGGAGAAGGAGGAGGGGAGAGGAAGACAAAAGGAGATAGTGTCAAAACCAAGAGCTGTCCAGTGAACTCTTTTCAGTAATCGAATGTGCTGAGGTGTCTTCTATCTTCAGAATAAGGATATCTGTCTGTCTGTCTCTCTCTTATGCTTTCTTGTTTTATAGTACTGGGAATCTAACTTAGGGCCTTACATGCTGAACAAGCACTCTATCATTGAGCTACACCCAGCCCTTTTTTATAAATTTTATTTTGATACAAGATCTCACTAAGTTGCCCAGGCTGGACTCAACTTGCAATCCTCTTACCACAGCCTTTCAAGTAGCTGGGACCACAGGTGTGTGCCACCCCACCCAGCTTCTCTTTTTTTTCTTTTTTTCTTTTCCTTAAGCAGCTATTTTTATACTATGCTAATATTCAAAATTAACAAATAATGAAATATGGACATATTTACATATTTTTAAATCAAAGGAGAAGAAATTATTAAGTGTGTTTCTTTTGAACCCTCTGCAAGGTTTAAAAAAATGACCRTTCAGATGAAATCAGACGAGGAAGTTAAACAGGACAAAAAAAGCTAGGACTTAACAAAAGGAAGATAAACAAATTTCCACTTCCTCTCTTCCATTCATGTCTTGATAGTGAGGTAAATAAAGTAGGATTTCCTGCCATGACGGAGTTTAGAGCCTAGTGCAGGGAGACAGGCCTGGAAACCACTGCCAGGAAAAGGCTCATCTGCTGTTGAATTGGTGCTGTGAGGGTCAGGGCAGTGGCCTTCACAGGGAAGGGGCCCAGTGGAARTTCACCAGACTCAGGTGAAGTTGGCATAGAGGGCAGGGCAGGACACTGTCTGGAAGCAGGCGGAACAGGTTCCCCAAGGCCTGACACACAAGC